ACTGCACGCCAGAGCACACAAGGCACAGGCATTCCCTGGGGACAACTAGTGGTGGCAAAAGGTGTGCCGCTGCTATTTGCCCCTGGGGAACCAAATGTCCACACGTCTGGACGCAGCCTAGTGGGCTAACTCTTGAATCCTGTAATAGTTCCCTGGTTCTTGCTACCGATCGACGACTCATGAATATCAAAAATCTATTGTTTAGGTGCAGCCAACTCTTTCCTGAGGTGGGCTTGATGACTTTCTGTCCCTCTGCCTACACAAAATTAGTTAACAGGGATTCAGCAGTAATCAGTATCATGATGCTGCACACAGCCAAAAGACAACAGTTTCAAACCCACATACATTTTACATGGTATCACATTCTGATGGAGCTTGGTTGCTAAGGACAACCATCCAGTGCCAATAGACACAGATGGCACATGGTCCATCACTCATTGTCACACCGGGCACAAGCATCACCTCATGTTGTGGGCATTTCAGGGCTCCAGAAGTGTATAATACTATTAATGACTCAGCATTAGACACAGGGGCTCCCTCAGGAACATGTGAACAGCCAGCAGACAGCAATGCAGCTTCCATCTTCCACTGTTTTAAAATAAGTTCCATTATGTAAAGGGTATTAGGTGTTTTTAAAGTGGTAAACGTGACAGGTTGGCTGCCTGCCTGGGAGGTAACCAGGCATTGGAAGCCTAATTCATTTACCCTCAGGCATTGAGCCAGTTTTTAGAGAGGAAACTATCCTTTCTTCCCTCCCCACTATCACAATTCCAGAGCAAGTGGTACCTCAGCCAGTCATTCTGTTTTCTCTCTGCCCCTCACATATTCCCACTGGTACTTCCTCCTAATGCTAGTTTCAGGCCACATTTAGAAATATACCTAGGTCTAGAATGAAGCACAACAGAACAGACAGCTATTCCAGTTAGTCCGTTATTCATCCTCTCATGGTTCCTTTTGCACCTGATGGTTCAGAGGATGATTACACCCCTCCACTAACAGACATACCAAAGTACTGCACCCAGCCTACTGTGCACACGTGTATGCTGGGGCAGTATGGGAAGGTGGAGAATCGCTCCCCTCTCCCCACTACTGAATTACCAAAACAGGGAACATGTCTGATGTATATGGCTCAGAAAGCACCTTGCTTAGCTCTTTTAACAGTATATGCTAAGAAAGCAGTGAGATGGCACTAAACTGAAGGGCAATGAAATCTGTTGGAGACTTGAACAGCTTCTCTTTTTTTTTTCTAAACTAAGTTTGAACAGAATGGCAAATGATGGGAGGAAGTGAAGGGGAAAGAAGTCAAGATGAGCTTAAGATTAAGTGAAACAGGCCTGGGGGGCCAGAGGGGGGTTGGGGGAGTTAAATTAATATTTCACATTGATAGGTCTAGATTATCAACAGGAACTTCCTCCTCTTGCAGGTCAAATAGGTACTAAACCAGGGGCAGGCAAAATACAGTCCATGGGCCAGATCTGGCCTGCCAGGCAATTCTATCTGGCCCATGAGGCCCCTACAATTTAGAAAAATTTATATTTAATCTGCTCCTGGCTGCCTGTCAAAGATGACAGGAGCCAGGAGCAGCCTGCAGGACTCAGCAGCAAGACCAGCCTGGCCCCACTCCCAGTCCCCTCCCATCCCCCCCCAACCAGAAGCCTCTGCCTGCCATGGCTTTCCCTGCTTCCCTTCACACCAGCCAGCTGCTCCAGCACCATGTGGCCCCTGGCTGCATCACTAAATCATGGGAGCATGGGGCCCATGCCAGTCCCCCAGGGCCAGGAGCAGAAGGATGTGTGTGTGCAGGCACACTTGTGTCCCTGTAGTGAGGGAGGGAGGGGGAGAGAGAGAGAGAC